CCCCCCCCCCCCCCCACGTGTGTTACCGCTGTCCCTCTCTTTCTCGAGCAACAGCCCTTCTCTCCGATGTACCACGAGTAGGATCGCTTACCGTCATTATCAGTGTTGTTTCATTCGCTGGGAAGTTCGCACGAGTGTTTACAGTGTTATTGTTGTCATTGTTCACTGCAATTTTCGGTAATGACGGATTGTGTTCCTTGGAGAGATTCAATTCAATGGTTCTGAGTGAGCCTGTTTATCGCCGTTGTTTATCAGTTTGTCCCAATTTTTTCCCTGCACTGTTTATTTGGACTGGAATGCTCGAAATTGGGGGATGATGGATTACACAAATCCTCTGATCGAGCTTTAATACTCTCATATGAATACAATACCGATAATATTAGCTTCCAGGGCTTCGTCGATCCAATTACGGAAATACGTAGGGCTACGCCCGTCTAGTTTATATACATTTGATGAATGTGGGATTAGACTTAGTCTCGGATTCAGATTTACTAGTGGAATACGAATATTGAATCGTCCCAGTGAATATTGAATTGTAATCTTCATATTCTATTTAGCAGTGATTTTGAGAAGAAAATCTCGGGTGACTATTTTTGGGGAGAATTTTCCTTATGAAGCGAAAATTTCTAGAAGAATTCATGTGCCAACACCGTAAACGAGGCGTCATTTACATCCTTTGAAAAATTATTGTGCAGCGTCAGAAAAATTAGTTTGCGACACCATAATTTTCCATTTTATTTTATGGAAATAACGGAAAAATTAGAAATTATGATGTTGCACTGTAATTTTCGGTCATTGTCCAGCATCAGAGATTTTATTTTGTAGTACAGAAAAAACACTGTGTGTTCACGAAGATTTGACGGAAGTACAAGATAGTATATTTGTGCACAAGTGGTAAAGTGGACTTTACGCACGCCGCGCGGAAGACAACTGCTTTGCGCACCCTAAACTATTTCGAAAAGTGCCTTTTTCAGGCAAATATCACGAAAGGCAATTTCATCGTTAAATTACCTCGACAACGAGTGGTGCCACGAAAAATCATCACAAGACATTTGTTGTGAGAAATTCAATGCTCTAGAAAAAAATATCTTTGCCTTTTATCCGTCGAATCGGGCATTGTTGAGTAATTCTTCAATAAACGAAAAATCCCGCCACCTTCCCGTGTTTCATCGACCGACAACATGAAAATTTACGGTACAATTAATCTAGTATGCAGTTCCAATGGTAACCTTCTGTACCAGGAATGTTTGTCACGCATGGCGAGCCCTAACAAGGCCTACCACGTGCTCCGCGATGCAGTACGACGCCAGCATACTGTCATTTTCTCACTTTCGAAATATCATAATTGGTATCAATAGGCTTACCTCCTGTGCGTCGCCTCCTTTGAAAAACCATTCCAATTCGGAATGGGGAAAAGAAAAATAAAAAAAAAATGAAAATTTCATGGACAATCTGTGATTAATTTCGATACGAGTGATATCGAACTCGATTTAGGCGAGGACTGATTATGAAATCTTGACATTTAGGTAAAATTCGAGAAAAATCACAAAATTTTTAGTTGAACCTTAATTTCGGAACCAAAATTACTTCAGTTTTAAATTTTCAACCGAATTTTCATGACTTCTCTCTATTTTTACAAAGTCATTGAAGTGGAATACACGGAGAGAAATTTTTCATAAAAATTATCCTACCGTTCTACAAAAGTGTATCATGAGTCATCGTTTCCTCATTTCTATCCCGAAATTTAGTAAAAATTAATATATGATGATCAAATTTTATCCTGATAAAAATAAAAATAACTGCGCCGGTAGAGTAAAAATTACCGTAACGGTAGGGTAAAATTTATTATGCGTTAAAATAGGTCATCAATTATTTCATCATTTTTCAAATTTCTAGGAAGATGAGTAAACATTAATTATTTTAAGCTGCAACTTCCCTAAATTTTAATAATATAATGATTGATCCCGACTCCTGCTGGTATATCCCTGAAAATTAAAGCTTTTTCTCAGAAAAAAAACTGACTAGAATGGCCCTGATCATCACACAGTGATTTTTATCACTTAAATTTGGTGATGATGCCTCCGAAAACTGGTGACAAAATCGCAGAATTTCAGAATTTGACAATCGCGAAGCCCGACTGCCTAATAAATTGAGGATAATCCCTGGCGATCACCAACTTGTTTCCGAAAACCAAAGCTCTTTCTCGTGTATCAAGTGGAATCCTTCGACTTGATTCAGGAAGTTTATTTGTTTTCCGAACGATTATCCAGATTTCAAGTGCGCGACACGTTCCTTTGAAAACAAAATGCATTATGTTTACACATCGCCCGGGACTGCCGTATTTCGAAACCTGACGTCATCCCTCCAAATATTTTGATCGGTACGATACTTCCCACTGATCAATCACCGTATGCATTCCGGTAACTCATTGACTTGGTTCAGTGGAAATGACAGCTCTCGGCAACTGGAACACCTTGGTAACGGTATTACCACTGGACCAGGTTCATCTCGTTTATCTCCGCTCATTGGCAGTCATTAAAAGTACAAAAAAAATTTACCATCCGTTATCACCTTATCGCGCTCAGCCATTAAAAAAAAATCGTGACCGGAATTCATTAAAAAATTACCAGTAAACTTTTTCTACTTCTCAATTTCTTTTGCACCACCATTTACTCCTTCTAACTGGTCGATTGTCAATTTTCAACTATACCCATATCCGTTAAAATTGTGAAAGAAAGTCTTGAGCCATCCGCGATTGGTATTCAACGGTGAACTGGGTTAACAGGGCCTTTTCTCCGGCGACTTCAGAGCATTTAGGAGTCACGCCGGGGGTCAAGAATCTTAAATGCAGCTGTTGAGATGAGCTTTTCACGAATAATTCTCACGGACGTAAAATTTCTTTCTTAAACTCCGATAAAGTATTACTGAGGAGGAGAGTTGAAAATAATGTTGGGAATTGAAGGAGAGGAATTGGAGAGGTTATTGGCGCTGAGAGGACTCATTGAAGATTTTTCGGTGAGAATTATTTTTTTGCTACAGTGAGTTTTGCCGTTAAAGCGCTCATTTATTTCTGGAAATTTGGACAAAAATGGCAAAAGTGTGGAGGGAAATGAATTCAGTGAAAAAGTTCGCTTGTGGAGGATATTTTACGATTAGTTCAGTAAAAAAAACACATCTATGGAGGCCGATAAAACAAAACTCAGACATCTCACCCAAATTTTCATCTAGATTATCTCTATAGCGCACGATTTTAGGCGAACTCACCAAAAGTCCTCTTTACACTTAAGAAAATTTCCCAAAAACAACCCTTCCCATTTCTCGGACAATCCGCTGTGACAGTCAACTCTCGAGATAAGCTCTCCCCGATTAATTCTCACAGACACATTTTTCCCCTAACTCTGATAAAGTATTACTGAGAAGGAGAGTTAAAAACACTGTTGAAAAAAAAACCAGAGAAAATACATAAAAGTTATCCTAGCATTTCATGCTCGTGATATGAGAAAAAGTGGATCCATTACGCACTCATGTGGAGTACGATACGTTGCGAGAGCTCAGCGCAAAGAGTGAAAAAAAAAAACACCACAAAAAGCCGAGAGAAATGGAAAAAAAAAGTTGCACAATTCTACGCACCCACGATCATTGTCTGTACTTTTTTTTTATTTTCATTTACTAGAGCGACGGAGAGTAGAGTCGCACGGTGTTTATTGTGCCATAACATACGCATCTCTGTAATCTCAAAAAGTCGTTTGTTTGTATTTTCATGCCGCTAGTTATTCATGCATGAATATTGTCCTCCACCTACACGCAGAAAAAAATAGGAGAAAAATTACTAAACACGTCAAGTAATCGTCGAGTGGAATTTATTTTTGGGTCTTTTTTACTTTACATCGGAGAGAAAAGTGCAAGATGAATAGTGAATTTTCCTCCGCTGGCTCGGAAAAATTGACTAAACGTGAGGGTAATTTAAGCTGTAAAATTTACCCTCCATCTCATTTTTCCCAGTGAACGTGAATAATTGCTCAATATTGCGTCATCATTCACGTACGTGTAGGAATTTTTCTTTAACGGAGAATGATTTTCTAACAAACGCGGTATTGTACACTGAGAAACAAAATTAGTTTTGCCGAAAAATGATGTTCCCCTGAGGAGATCTTTAGTCTCAATTTAAGCCTTCTGAAAGTCTCAAGTTGAGACTTAAAGTTTTCAAGTTAAGACTTTCCCGAAAAAAATATTTTTTATTAAATTAGCATTTCGCTACCCAATTACCTTCCGTGCAGTAAAATTTTCGTGATGTTATACATAATTTTTATCCAACTTTTCCCTCCGTGTACTCTTTCCATCCCCCCCGTTTCGTTCAATTGATCTCTCCCGGAGCGAAATCTCACGTTATTTTTCACTCCAGCCTACTGCCATTCACAAGTTACCATCATCGGTCTAACGTACATATTAATATTCCTCCCAATGTATTAAACCCTGAAGGTCATTCACGTGTAACACCAATAGCCTCAGCAGATTGTTTCACATATCTCGGCGAGGAATGCATTTAATTCAGAATTAATTGCATACACCGAGCTTGTCTCAATGATGCAACCAATTTGTTATGAAGTGAACTGATTGTACAGTGTAGACTCAGTACACGGTGAGTTCTGATCCGACGAGCCTTTTTCCATCGATAATTGAGTATCAGCACTTGGTTGAGTGCATGATTTACGTGATCCAGATGAATCAAGCCCGATTCGTCTGGTTAATCATTGAATTATCTCGGCAACGCATCACTTTGCGAGAAAATACGAAAAGACATCTTTTACAGAGAACTTCCTCAACTACAAAAAAGTCTTTTGGTGTTTTCCCCTTGGACCACTCGTTCCGGAGGTAATCACCAAGACAACAAAAATCCCATATCTGATACGAATGCTCGTTATTTCCGATTTATCTCAAGAACGATTGATCTCACAAGAAATCATCATAGGACTTTTCTGCAGCCGATGAAATACCCTAAAAAAAAGTTCCTCTGACGTACTTCATTAAAACCCGTCGTTCCCCAGATAATCACCTGATTAGCTAAGATCATTAACAGAAGTGAGTGTACATGGTGCCTCCCAACTCATTTCACCTCCCCTGCACATCGATAAATCCGCGTATCCACACCTCTCCGGCCAAAAGATGCACAAGATAAGACTGTACGTGGTACCAGAGCATGAGGAGACAACTGAGAATGATGATCCCGATGATATTGATCCACCACCCATGATCCTACACCGTAGAAATTCACGGCGTCCTGGTGCTGTGCGTGTTAACGTGATTCAAAAAAGTGCCTCGAGTGAAACTAATGATCCCGATAGAAGCCACCTCAAAGGACTAGACGTCATAAAACAGGATCTCCTGAAGATGAATAAACGAAACATAACTAATCATGCATCAGCCAAAGTGCCATTACGTGCCACCTCTTTATCAAATGGTCGAGTACTTGCATCACCCCGTATCAAGAAGATCGCCCACGATCTCCAGGAGAAAATGCTCCAGAGTTCTAGCTATCGAACACGTAAAACCGAGAATCATCGCAAAAGTGGTCACGATGGATCAAAAGTGGTGGTAAAAAATTCACGAATTGAAAGGAACACCAATGGTATATCAAATGCCGGAAATAAAAGAACAGCTAGAGAGTGTCCAAGGAGCTACTGTCGAAAGGATCAGTATCAAACTGGAGATTCGCCAAAAATTGTTCGAGTCAAAGACGAAGTAGACGGAATGGAAAATAGAGAGGGGGTTGAGAATTCCAACGACGCCAACTTGGCTGTACTCGGTAGAAACAACAAGCTCAACGGATACAGGGTGAGTATCTTTTTAACAGTCGAATGAACTGAATATATGTATGAATTTATTCGTTGCTGAATGAATGTCAGATATATCACTCGCCTTTTTTTTCGGCTATTGTTCATTGAATTAAGCGGCATTACGGAGGCTTTAACATTCTATTTGCATGATTAAGCCACTCCCAATCACGAGTTGCACCTGGGATATGTGAGGAAATTTACAATGTTGTATTTCATTGGGCAATACAATAATTTCTGGTCACCTGTTCTTTCAAAATATGAGGTATTTCGGCTAGTTTACGAGTACTTTTGTTGGAGTGGTAAAAGTTAACAGAATCCTTGGTAGGAAAGTGGCTAGAAATGAAAGTGTTTCAATGGCCAATAAAATATTCCAGAACAAGAGCTGGAGAGTAACTGTTAATGTCGACATCTGAGTGTAGTAATGATAAGTATTCTACCCCTTCCACCTGATTAGAGTAATTTTTTGTAACGATTATGCGGAGTTGTGAGCACGTGTGGGGAATATCAGATGTTACCTCATGTAGACGGTAGTTTGGCACGCGAGGAACCGATAGTGCATACACCATCGTCACCATATACTGTTTCATGGGTGAAGAGGACGCGAGTTTCCCTTCTCCGATAATTGACGATGAAGAAACCTCTAGTGCGACATGGTTGATCCTTCGGTATAACCCCCAGGGTAAATACGGTGTGGCATTATGCGGTTGATTACGAAATGAAATGTCAACTGTACCAATGTACATACCAAACAAACAGGTATCTTCGGAAGTGTGCCGAGTGGAATGAACATGCGTAGATGGCAGATTAAATAATGGATGGATAGGGTATGCCAGATTATCATCCGCGTCGGAGGAGATGTTTGAATATTTAAATTGAGATATCTTCCGCTGACGAATCATATCGAGATGGGTTTATTTCACGGGGTAAATATCTCTGAGCTGAATCAATGAGTCACTAACAGGGTTGTCTAGACTGAGACTTCTCCACACCTTTGACAATCGAAGCAAGTTATTCATGAATTTTATTTCATTTTTTTACACATTCCTCTGCAAGATGTTAGTCGTGAAATTACCAAGTCCCTCGAAGATACGTTCCAGAAAGCTCATCAATAATTCGCAATTCTCATCAATTTGCCATCCATCGCTAATAATTCTCGACTGTTTGAAATAGTCACCGTGTATTCTCCTCTCCGCCACACAAACGAGCTTTACAGAAAATATTAATTTCACCCGTGCTGACTTGGCCTATAAACTCTCATTGCAATATTACTCTCACCCTCTCCACCTCCAATATCAGCGTTAAATTCTTCAATACCATATTTCATGATAATTGCTGATTCTCCAGCATCCAGAGACGACAGACACTCATGCATCCCAGGGTAATATAACAGAATCGATTTCAATCTTGAAGCACCACTCACCCATTGTAATTATACGGCCCGTACCGAGAGATCGTAAATGCGTTTGTGTTCCAGGGCACAACTCGTACGTTTGATCTCGCCACTCGTCTGTAATTAGAGCATCATCGATCGTGCGAGGGGGGGGGGGAGGGCAATTATCAACGGTGCGCCATAGTTAACTCGATTGGGTCCTCACTTTTGATCATTGAAAATTCCACAATAAAGTGGTTTTCATTTCATTAGTGGTCTCCTTCAAAGAATCAATAAATTTCCCCTGAATTCGTTGATGGCTCTCCTGATTTTTTAAATGACGAGCATCATCTGACTATTATATTCATCATGATTATCACGATCAATCCGGAAATATGCAGCAGAACGAGAAACAGTTTGATAGAAGCGTTCGTCTGGAATACCCAGCTCGCCACATTGTTCCCCGTAATGTACAATTTTGTGTATATTGCCCACGGAAACTCGTTATGCGTCGGCACCTGTGGTCAAAGAGACTTCCGTGACCACCGGAATGTTTCGACGCAGCATTACAAGCAGTGGCGTAATAGCGTGCGTGTTATAAAGTCAAAATTAAAGGTGAAAAAAATTCATATCCGCGATAGGAGGGGGTACATCCAGAAAATTGCCAAAAAAGAATTTGTTTGGTTCGAATAATTGTTCTGCTTTCGACAGCAACGAAATATTTGTAGTGCTATAAATGACATTTTTTGCGGCTACAGAGAATGCAATTTTTTTTGAACTATTAAATCTATTTTTGCAACAAAAATTTTTCATTCCGGCGCACTCTCTGCACGTTTAACACAAAAAAATCCTTTTTTGATGATTAAAAAAAACTAGTTTCTTGGCACAAATAAGACTTGTTTGAGAACTTTGTCGTTTTTCTCTCAGTGTAATGATTTTTTTATTTGAAATTTTCCACTTGTTTCAGGAAAAAGGACTTCATTAGATTAAACAAACAATTTATTCATTTCAAATAAATAGTTTTCTTATTTTAAGAAAATCACATTTTCATGTATTTTGCGAACCAATTTCGAAAGTGTGTTTCAACAATATTCGTGGGCTGCGTGAAAAAAGGTCGTATGAACCTACTCCAGGAATCGTGAAATCTGAATCATTCTGATCTAATTTTTAATATAAGAAAATTATTTATTTGGTATAAATAAGGAAATTATTTGGATCAAAAAACGATTTATCAATAGTACAAAAACCATTTATTTAACATAAACAAAATTTCGAACGACATTTTTCATTTAATTTGAAAAAAAAATTATTTGATACTGTTTGAATAAACTTATTCACTCGATTCAAATAAATAATTTTTCTGGGTGCAGTTATGCGCACCTCTGCGCTTCACCGTTGTCTCCCCCATGTCTGCTTTGGCGTTGAGTATTTTTTAAAAATTGCTGGAAGAAGCAGACAGCATCCAAAGTGAAGTTTACATATACCTGGAGGCAATGAAGAAGAAAGCACCGACGACCGGTTTCTCGTTGAGAGTGAAAATCCTTCGGCTTCGGCTTCGGTCACAAGACCTTGGGATTGGACATGTTGGGTGTTGTGTAAGGATGTTGGCAATTACGTTTGGTTATTGGTTGTTTTCAATATCAAAACACAACTGGAAGTGTATAATTTTCCATTCGAAATTCTTCGATATCCGTTGGAATTGACCAGGTACTGACAGTCGCCGTTGCGGAGACAATCCGAGAGAAACGGCTGATCATTCTGAATTATACAATTGCGGTAGATAAATTCCCGAGTCGCCGGCAAATCGCTCGCCCGACCACTTTCCACTCTTTATATCTTGTTTTACACGTATAAATTTTCTTCCATTATTCACGGAATTCCATTAGATCACCTAGTGGTTGTTAGTAATCTCGGTTGCACCTGTGTCTGCAGCCGTTCTGTGTACTCGATTGAATTCTCAATCGATTTTGGGTTAATGGACTTGGTGCTTCATTGAGTCAGCACGTTGAGCATAATTGCTCGCCCACCCCGTAATTATACTATTTTCGTGGGAAAAATGAGGATGAGGAGGAATTGAATTTGTGGGGTTGTGATGACACTAATGGATTTTCTAGGATTTGTCACCCATGCAATAACTACCTACGCGATGTTCTCGGAACATTGGCGAATGTCTACTTCTATTTTTCCTTTGTCTCGATGTTGTGAATGATATTGTGCAATTTTTGATCACTCATTAATTTTCATTATTGTTGACTAGTGGCCAACATTAAATGTACAGAGGCATGCATCAGAAGTTTCTGGTTTTCAATCGAATCAGCAAAAAATCTGGGAAATTTTCACTCATTTTTATTCGACTTGATTCAAGTCGAGATTTACTTGAATAACGAAATTATCCTCTAGATGTGCCGGAGTTTAATTGGAAATAAGTTCATTCCCACTGAATGAAGATGCATCCCAGCATACCAATTAAATATATTATTATCACATTATAACCAGTTGAACAAGTCTTCCTTTCCTCAATTTGGAAAATGCATTTATTCTTATTGAGACCATTGCCCCCACGCGCGCTAACCCCTCGGTTTCTCTCCAGTAATAGTCTTTCTCCAAAAGAAATCCCATAATTTTATAGAGCACACTGAATACCCCAACTGCATACGCCTTACATTTTAACTCGGAAATCAGTTCTAACCCACGAAAGAAGTTGGGTCACCAGTATTCAAGTGAAAAAAATAAATAAACCCGCGGATTTTCTCTCGTTTGCATGCCAATGTCCGATTCGCCATTTGCCCATCGAGTGCCAATTCTCCGCCTCGAGTCCTGCATTTCCCCAGGTGCAATTGGAAATCTGCAGTCATATCGTATACTTCGGTAGATCTTACACTCAACAGAGGAACAAGAAGAAGGCCGATGCGATCGTGTCCGGGGATTCAAGTAGTCGAGCTAAAGTTATTCCTCCCCTCCCCCAAATCATCAGAAGCTTTTATAATTTTCCTGAAGACGAGGATAATTTGTCGATGACAAGAATGTTTTTTCCGAATTCAACTGTAGTCGAATCAATTCGATAGTTTTCCAGTCCCAAATCCAAAATAAAACTCTCGATTATCCCCTGAATTAATGTAGATTAGGGTTTGCCATTTTGAGGAGCTGCACTGAGTGGCAATTTGAAAACCACAGTCAACAATTCAAATGTGCAGTTGTGTTGGTAATGATATCAGGGCCCAGTAGCAGTTTGGCCTGGGTTACGATAAGGATAACGGCCCGCGTCAAAGCGTAAACCCGCAAACCTACTTCTGTCGACACTAGCCTCACTTTGGACTCCACATGTACGTGGACTTGATGACCGTCTACCATCTAAACACCACTAGGCAAATGTGATTGTAACCCAGAAATACCGGAATACTGGAAGCAACGGAAGAGCGTTACGATTCAGTGAAGATACCACCATCTTCGTGCTTTTATTACAGCGTTATAACGCACCTCCGAGGGTCTGAGTAATTATCGGGAAATTATATTAGCCGTAAAACTTGGCCCGGTGTATCATCTCTCAGGTTGGTAAACGATCGGTGAGAACAAAATGAAATTCGAATGAGGAAAAAACACGGAGAAAAATTTCACTGGCAATTTTAACT